ATTGCTTAAGCCATTTTGAGTTGAACTTTTTTGATATTCAAATGCAAAGAAAGCATCTTAAGTGATAAACTAAAGCAGGAAAAAGAGAACATGAGATGACGTGCTACCTAATATGTTCAGGCATAATTCTTATAAAGAGATACTTAGGCAATACACAAAAATCGATTACGTCTTTTTTTAAAAAATTAGGAACTGAGAAAATATCCAATTAGAGAAGGTGTAAAAGAAATAAATTCTTGAGAAAAAAATTTTTGAATCACTTTTCTAAATATTAAAATTTTCATGCACTCTTATTACAAGTTGTCAATTCTGACAACTCCTGGTTAAAAATGAAGGTATCTTCTTAATGATTCTCCACCTCTCACACTAACCATTTCTTGTTTTATGAGAGACACATGAGAGCAGATCCCTACGTGCCCAGAGCTCCTTAACCCTCTCCATACAGTTGGTGACTTTTCATTCCCAGGTGAAGCAAAGCAGACTGTACATTGTGACACTGTGCATCATAAAGCCAGTTTCACTGAGGTCCACGAGCAGTTTCTCAGAAACGTGCCTCTCACTGGTCCTCTGCTCCAGCAATGAATTACCAACACAGGTATGCTGAAAGAATTAAAAACAGAAACACTCTTTGTCTAAAACAAACACCCAAAGGATTAGTTGTTCTTGGGAAGAACATCCTATTAGTGTTGTAAGAAAATCTGCAACATTTTGGACTTGTTTTCCATTCATTGCCAGGTGTATTGTGTGTTAGCGGTGTCCAGGTGAAAATCTGTTTTCTTAGGGATTGAACTGCTTCTAGATGTGAGATTTATGAGGGGGTCTGATCAGCCAGATGTAGGGATGTTTGTTATGCTTCCACCTGCTTCTCTGGGCTAATGACCAGGAGGCAGCATCCTGTCTGCAGATTAGGAGCACTCCAGGTGGGAATGAAAACATATTCAGGAACTAGACCTCAATCTACTGAAATCACTGATTTTCCTAAAAGACTGTGCATGACTAACTCCAGGCTATCTTCAGATGAACTGAGTACTGTGAACCACATAAATAGATTCTGTTCTCTTGTTTATGGTTCTGATCACTGTTGAGTCAAAGTGTTTACTACAGAAGCACAGCCTCTTCAAGAGTCATCTAAGAAAAAAAGACTATTGATTCAAACAAAGGGTTTGTGACATGCAGCACACCACTCTATCTCTTCCTTGAGATTTCACAGTGCACATGGCATGTTAGG